CTCAATCTGACTCAGGTCTTTCAACACCCCTCCCAAACTCAGCAGCTCTGGAGTGGGCAAGCACCTCTCATCTTCCACAGTGAAGATGGAGGCTAAAAACGCATTTAGCTTCTCAGCCATTTCCCTATCATCCTTCAGTACTCCTTTTACCCCTTGGTCATCCAAGGGCCCCACTGCCTCCCTGGCTGGTTTCCTGCTTCTAATGTATTTGAAGAAAGTTTTATTGTTGGTCTTTACATTTTTTGCTATATGCTCCTCATATTTCCTTTTTGCCTGCCTGACTACAGACTTGCATTTTATTTGCCATAGCCTGTGTTCTGTTTTATCAGCCTCACTGTGACTAGCTTTCCACCGCTTAAAGGAATCCTTTTTACCTTTTACAGCTTCCATTACTTTGTTTGTTAACCATTACATGATCACTCCACACTACTACTAGTGTGCACCTGGTAGACAGCATAACTCTTGAGATGACCAGTCAGTACACTTTAGTCTCTACCCCTCTCAGTAGGGAATCCCCAATTACTAGCATACACCTCCTCCTATATTGGGGAGCAGAAGCTTGAGTCCTCTCATCCTGCACAGGGGCCTGAGAAATTTCCTTCAAATCTCATGGAGGTTGGGGAAGTAGCCCTTGTTTCAAGGGTCCAGAATCAATATCTATGGGGAGATCCTGGAACCAATTGCTTAGCAACAGAGGCTCAGAATGTCTCATGATTTTCCTGCTTCTGTGGGTTACGTTCTTCCATGCGCCCTCCTCCTGTGTTGGGCGCTCCTCCATTCACTGAGAAACCTTTTCCTCCTCCTCCTGTTGCCCTCTCGAGAGCACTTTATGTGTTCTGTCCATGAAATCTTCACCTTCCCTTCTAAACTGGAGTGTGGACAAGTGTGCCTCAAGTCCCTGTATCTTCTCCTCCAGTAGGGCTGCCAACTTACACTTGCTGCAAATGTAATTGCTGTTACCATCAGGTAAGCATACAAACATGCCACAGACTTTGCACGTCACTGCCTCAGCTCCTTCACCAGCCTTCCTGCTGTGATCCATTTCAAAATTAGTTCTGTTTATCTTGTACTTCCCTGATAATTCCACTGCCAAACTGCCTCTCAAGACTACTTGTGAATAGGTATGCACCTTCCTACAAGGCCCCCAGGCCAGGATCCCAGGCTAAGAGCCACAGGGCAAGAGCCCTTGAGCTCTCACCCTTTGTCTCATGCCAAAGGCTCATGCCTCTGGTGAGGAGGAGCCTTGCACAATTGAAGGCTCACCCAGCAGAGAACGGGACCAGCAGTCAGCCCTAGGCAAAACTGCTAAAAGCTACAATCAGTTACACCTAGGCAAAGGGACAAACAGAAACCACACTTACTCAAACAGGCACCACTCTCCAACAAGCTGTACATACCCTCAAACACTATCCTCCCACACAGGAATCTCAGCTAAATCTCAACAGTTAAAAAAGGCAAATAAAAACACCTCTTCAGCATCTCTGTATCCTGCACCTTCTCAGAGCCCAACTGAGTTTGATGAAACCTCCTTTGCCTTAGATTATTTCCATTAGTCCAAGTCCTGTCATCCAACATGAGCAAAAATATGTCCGCCCCATCACTCACATGACTGACCCCTCTGCTGCACTTCTGACTCTGCAGGTATAGCCTGTGGGAACCAGGCTGTCCTCCATGTATTCTGGTCTGTAGGGGACTGACCAAATATAGTGGGGGGGGGAAGGCATGCCCCCATACTTGCACTGGCCGTGGCAGCGGTTCTTGCCATGGTGGAAAAGGCTGGGGTGAAAGGTAACCCATAATAGGCTATTCCACTGAGCCTTGGGTCTTGAACCGGTGGGGAAGGATTAAAGGTATTTGGTGGGGCCACAGGAAACTCACCGACCTTTGCTGCCATGGAACCTTCAGCTGCACTTCTAACGGCCTGCCTCTCTTCCCCCTCCCTTTCTGGCTGCCCGGAGGCTTCCAGGGCCAACAGGGATGTTGGTGGCACTGATCCGCTTAAGCTTAGGTGATTCCCCAAGGCCTTGGGGGCACCTGCCTGCTCTTTCC